GAAAGACGAACTCTATATGACTCCACTCATAGGTGGAAGTTAATATACTGACAAGGAGATCTGATCGGTGGTTAGCAGGGAAAAGGGGGGGGTTGGGGGGAGGGCACAAAGGGGGAAGTGGTGTACCCACAACATGACTAACAAAAATGTACAACTGAAATCTCACAAGGTTGTAATCTATCATAACATTAATAAAAAAAAAAAAGCTGTAATTAAAATAACAAGAAGTGTAAAAAGGAAAAGGTGCAGAATTTGACATTTTGTAACAGGAAAAAAAATCTATTCTGGTTTCAGGAGAGGCTTCCAAGAAGAAATCATATTTAATCTAAGCCCTGAGGGTAAAGCCTGGTGAATAGGATCAGGAAGGATGGCAGCCCTGACTGAGATTCCATCTAAGCAACAGCACATGCAAATGCCCCGGGGCTGTGATAAGCTAGTTTAAGAGAACTTGGGAAAAGAAGGAAAGCACACAGCACACGGGTAGGAAAGGTGGGCAGATTATGCATGGCATTAAACCATGTCACTGTGTTTTCCCTCTCCTTCCTTAGTCTTTGTATACACACTTCCATTCATACTCTAAGTATGTTACCAAAGTTCTCTAAGATCCAGAAGACAAAATAGTATCTTAAAGTGTTATACTTTCCAATTTAATGTCCTGACAATTCCTGGATTTGAAAATCAGTTTCCCTATTGTCAAATAGTGTATCTGAATTGACTCGTGTATTGACAAAATTAATGTCATCAATAAATAACACTTTAAGAATAATAGTGTTTTATCTGATTATATGACACAGCTCCATGATCCAGACATACCATAAAAATGATAACTAGTAAATCAGTTATTCTAAAGATATATAGACTTCTCTGTGTGTGCACATATAAAAATTTTAGAGAAGTGATGCCAGCAATGTGGCAGAGTGAGCTGTTGCCTTTATGTCTCCCCTTCTGAATTATAACTAAACAGACATTCATTGACCAACAGAGGATACCCACAGAGCTCAGCAGGGCACCTGAGAGACTCATGCAGCTACGCATCTGAAGGTGGATGGACTGGGTCCCTGGGAAGCAGTGGAGATAGGTGAGCACTCCCCTACCTCCCCAGCAGCAGTGAGCCAGGTCGTGGGTCTTCACACAGTGGCCAGTGCTACTCTAAGAGGAGGCAGGGACAGCCCAGACTGCAGGTGAACGCCATCCTGGCCAGCAGGAGCGCCTGCCATGGCACCAAGGCCCTGCCAGCGGGAACACAGCTTGGCGTGACTGTGAGAAGAGGTGGCAGCAGCCCTGCACGAAAGCACAAACACTTTCCTGGCTGGTGGGAGCCCCCACTGTGCCACCACGGCCCCACAAGAGGGAACGCACCTCGGCATGACTGTAAGAAGAGGAGGCAGCAGCCGTGTGCATGTGCGTGAATACTTTCCTGGCTGGCAGGAGCACCCACCATGCCACTAGGGCCCTGACAAGTGGCCCCAGCTTAGACCATGTGAAGAAGCCCGCTCAACAAGCACGGCAACTGGCACAAGTGTAAGCGGAGGCAGTGGCAATACGGTATGTGTGGGAACACCACCCCAGCTTATGGGAGCACCCACCATACTCACACAACTTCCAGTAGACAGAGTGGGATCAGAAACACAGCTCCTGCTTCCCCCCAGTGGTAGCAGGAGGAATCTGTGACCTGATACTACCACAAATGCAATAGCAAAGGATAGCTTGATCAAAAACCGTGAAAAACAACAGTAACACTTCAGAGGAGAAGAAAAAAGACAAGTCTCCAGAAACCAACCCTGAACTCCCAGAAATTAACAATCTAAGTGACAGAGAATTCAAAATAGCTGTCAAAAAGAAACTCAATGAGTTATGAGAAAACTCAGAAAGACAGTTCAATGAAATCAGGAATGAAATTAATGAGCAGAAGGAATACTTCACCAAAGAGACTGAAACTCTATAAAGAAACAAACAAATTCTGGAGGTGAAGAACACAATCACAGAGATAAAAATAATCTAGAATCCTTAAAAAATAGAGCTAAATTATGGAGTACAGAACTAGTGATTTAGAGGATAGAAATATAGAAATGCTTCAGGTGGAGAAGAGACAACTAAGATTTTTTTAAAATGAAGGAGTTCTTCGAGAAACATCTAACTCAATTAGGACATGAAAAATAAGGATTATAGATATTCCAGAGGGAAAAGTGAGGGAGAAAGGAGCAGAGTTTTTTCAAAAACAATAGCTCAGAACTTCCCAAACCTGGGGAAGAAATTGGACATAAAAATACATGAAGCAAATAGAACTCCTAATTACATCAATGCAAAAAGACCTTCTCCAAGGCATATATCAGCAAAATTGGCAAAGTAAATGACAAAGAAAAAATACTAAGAGCAGCAAGGTGGAAGAAGAAAATCTACAAAGGAACCCCTATCAGGCTTTCAGTGGATTTCTTGACATAAACCTTACAGGCTAGGAGAGAGTGGAAAGATACGTTCAAAATACTGAAAGACAAAAACTTTCAGTCAGGAATACTCTATCCAGCTAAACTATCCTTCAGATATGATGGAGAAATAAAAGCTTTCCCAGATAAACAAAAACTGAGGGAGTTCATCGCCCCACCTCCCCTATAAGAAGTGACCAAGGATGCCCTCATATCTGAAACAAAAAGGCAAAGGTCTACAAAGCTTTGAGCAAGAAGATAACTAGACAGACAAAATCAGAATACTGCAGCTCTCTTTCAGAACACGGTGGCAAACACTTAATTATGACTTAAAAGATAAAGAGAAGGATAGCATCAAAAATAACCATAAACACTTCATTTTACTCACAAACTCACAACACAAAACAGCATTGTTTGCAAAAACAATATCTCAGAAGGGAAAGAGGAAAGGGGTGGAACCTGCTTAGGCTAATAGAGATAAGAGGCTATCAGAAAATGGGCTATCTCATCTACAAGATCTTTTATACAAACCTCATGGTAACCATTAAACAACAACAAAAAAAAAATCAGAGCAAAGCCACAATTTGCAAATAAAGAGAAAAGTGAGAAAACCACCACAGAAAACCACCAAACTGAAATGGCAGTCAGAAATACAAGGGAAGAGAAACAGTGGAAACATAGAAAAACTACTAAACGAGACAGAATGGCAGCATTAAGCCCTCATATATCAGTAATCACTCTAAATGTAAATGGATTTAATTCTCCAATCAAAAGACACAGAGAAGCTGGTGGATTAAAGAACAAGACCCAACAGTATGCTGCCTCCAGGAAACACATCTGAGATCTAAAGACAGACACAGGCTCAGAATGCAGGAATGGAAGATGATATTCCTCTTGGTCAAACTAGATAAAGCTTTCCTAATTTTGTTGATCTTTTTAAATCAAGTTTTTGGTTTTCTCGTTGTTTTGAGAGTTCCTTATATATTCTAGATACAAGTCTGTTTCATATATGCATTTTGCATTTCTCCCAATCTGTGGCTTTTGCTTTTATTTTCTCAATGTCTTTTGGAGAGAAGAAGAGCCTGCTAGGATGGAATCCTGATGCTGATGCTTCCTAGCTGTGATCCTGGGTAAGTCACTTAACCCTTCTGTGCCTTAATTCCATCGCCTGTAATGGAAATAATAATAACACCTACCTCAGACAGTAGTCATGTGGATTAAGAGAGTTCACTTTTGAAGTGTGTTTAAAAGAGTGCCTGGCACATAGTAAAATACGTGTTATTCTTTCCTGTCATTCTTGCATCATTGTTTGTAATAGTAGAAAGCTGGAAACAACCTAAATGTCCATCAATAGGGGACCGAGATGAGATAAAACCAATCACAGCACATGCTTAATGGAATTCTACACAAATATTAACAAGGTTAGGGATCCAAAGATGTACAAATGACTAATAGGCACATGAAAAGAGGCTCAACATCATTAGTCATTAGGGAAATGTAAATTAAAACAAAATGAACATGGCTGTGCATCCACAGGATGACTATTAGATGAATGGCATTGGCAAGGATGTGGAGAAATTAGATCCCAATACATGGGTGGTGGGGATGCAACATAATGCAACCACTTTGGAAAACAGTTTGGTATTTCCTCAAAAACTTAAACTCAGTTGCAATATATACCCTTGTGGGTATATACCGAAGAGAAGTGAAAACATACATCCACACAAAAACTTGTATTCATATCATGAATATAAACACACATAGTCATAGCAGAATTCATAATACCCAAAGTGGATACAACCCAATTGTGCAACTGATGGAATGGATAGACAAAATGTGGTAGAGCCATACAGTGGAATTTTAGCCATAAAAAGGAATGAAGCACTGACACATGCTACAACATAGATGAACCTTGAAAACATTATTCTGAGAGAAAGAAGCCAGACACAGAAGGCCACATATTGTATGATCCAATTTATATGAAATGTCCAGAATATGCAAATCCATAGAGACAAAGTAGATTAGTGATTGCCAGGGGCTGGGAGAAGGGACGAATGGGAAGGGGCTGCTAATGGGTACGGACTGCTTTTGGGTGGGGTGATGAAAATCTTACAGAACTAGATACTGGCGATGGCTGCACAATCTTGAGAATATGATAAAAACTAGTAGATTGTATACTTTAAAATGGTGAATTTTATGATACATGAATTCTACCTTAATTTAAAAAAAAAAGAATAGGGAGGTATGTATTACCTGACATGGTATAATCTCCAAAACACATTAAATGGAAAAAGAAAACACAGAACAGTGCACATGGTATGCTACCATATGCATAAAAAAATAATGTACACACACACACACACACTTTGCAGGCACAAAATCTCTGAAAAGGTACACAGGACCCAGTACACTACTCCCCAGAGCGGGGCATCGGGTGGCTGAGGCACAGGCAGCTGGGAGGGAAGCCCACCTTCCCAGCGCACCTTTGTACCTGTTGAATTTTATACAGAGAGCAAGTACTACTCCTTCCTTTTTGTTCAATTTAAAGGAGGAAATAAAAATGGAAAACTCTGATGCTTTATCTTTAGTCAAGCTTTATTTTAAGAGATCATCTTCATATTCTTCTGTAATAAACTTAAAAGATATCCACCCATTTGGTCAGATTTATTTATTTTTTAGCAATTGAAGCATTAAACGATGAGCTTTTACTCTCAATCCTTAGCAACATTATATTCATTATACTTGAGATTGTTAGAAACCTTTATACCGTCCACCTAACAGACCTGCAGTGCTGCTTAATAGGAAAGCTTTACTGATAATCGGACAATGCATACGACGTGGGCAGAGACATCAAGAGCGACTGCAAAGTGGCCAGTCCTGGAAGTCAAGAGCTATGATCTTTGACCCACTGCTCGATCCATTTCAATATCTGATTGATATTATCTTCCAGATCTTCTGGGGTATTGCTGGGCAGCTGATGCACTATTTCTTCCTTGTAAGATGCTAATGCTTCTTCATGAAGAACTTGAAAAATTTCACACTGAATATTGTCTTTCAGCTTCTTCTCATTATAACCCCTAGAAGGCAAAGAGAAGATGGGCAAACCAAACAGCATGAACAGGAGTGTCAGGAACAGACCAGAAACTGGACACTTTTGAATACATGAAAAACCATGCAAAAAGACTTCTTGTGGTCTCTTTACCTGGAGAAAATAGACGGGCCCCTGTAAATATAAGAGACGTCTTTGACAAGAGGGTTAAACTTAGGACCAATGTATCGATTTGTCTGAATTTTTCCACCTATAATTTGTCAGCCACTCAATGAACAAATATGTCTAGCTACTTCGAGCCAGATTCTAAGCTGAGATGGTAAGAGATCTATAGCATGGTCTTAGATTTCAAAAGAGGCAGAGAGTTAAGATACAGACAGAGGAACAAACAGATGGCGGGTAATACGACAAGATGCATGCGACAGGAGTACTACAGACTAACCAGGCACTTGATCACACAGATGGATCCACACTTTACCAATCCCAAAGACACTGAAAATAATTTATGTAATCTTTAGGGAGATATGTAAACTAGCCAACTAATTAGCTAGTGAAAAAATAAAGAAAATCCAAACTCAAATTAGTTAAACCTTGTAACAATCAAAATTAAATTGAACTACTTAAAAAGTGATTACTTTATAAAAAGACAACCCACAGAATAGGAGAAAATGTTTGCAAATCATGTATCTGATAAGGGACTTGTACCTAAAATACACAAAGAACTTTTGTATCTTAATAAAAAAGGATGCATAACCCAATTAAAAACTGTGCAAAGGATATGAATAGATATTTCTCTAAAGGAGATATACAAATGGCCAATACGCACATGAAAAGATGCTCAACATCATTAGCCATCAGGGAAATGCAAATCAAAACCACAATGGGATCCCACTTCACACCCACTAGGATGGCTACAATCAAAAAGACAGACAATAACAAGTGTTGGCGACGATATGGAGATAAATAGAGCCTTCACACACTACTCTGGGGAATGTAAAATGGTGCAGCCACCTTGGAAAACAGTCTGACAGTTCCTCAAAAGGTTACACATAGAGTTACCATATCAGCCAGCAATCCCATTCCTAGAGAAATTCCATACCCAAGATAAATGAATATACAATGTCCACACAAAAACATGTGCACAAATGTTCCTAACAGCATTATTTATACCAGCCAAAAAGCAGAAACAACTCAAGTGTGTATAAGCTGATAAATGGATAAATAAAATACGGTAAAGCCATACAATGGGAATATTATTTGACAATAAAAAGAAATGACATACTGGTACATGCTAAAACACAGGTGAACCTTGAAAGCATTATGCAAGTGAAAGAAGCCAGACACAAAATACCACATATTATATGATTTCACTAATATGAAATGTCCAGAACAGGCAAATCCACAGAGACAGAAAGTAAATCACTGGTTGCCCAGGACTGGAGACTGAGGGAAAATGGGGAGTGGCTACTAATGGGAATGGGGTTTTTTGGGGGAGTGATGAACATTTTCTAAAATTGGCTGTAGTATGCACAACTCTGTGAATATACTAAAAACCATTGAACAGTATAGTTCAAATGGATGAATTGTATAGTATATGAATTTACCTCAATAAAGCTTTCCTTTTTTTTAAAGGTGATTACTTTGTAACTTTTTCCATGGCTAAAAACAAAAAGGACTAGCTCTCTCCTAGTTTTTTCATACCTTAGTCAATCTTTGGCTATTTACATAAAAGAGTAATTTTTTTTTATTTTTTTTTTTTGCTGAGGAAGATTTGCCCTGAATTAACATCTGTGCCAATCTTCCTCTATTTTCTATGTGGGTCACTGCCTCAGCAGGTCACTCCTTGCAGGTCCACACCTGCAAACTGAACCCGAGCCACTAAAGTGGAGCACACCAAACTTAACAACTAGGCCACGGGGCTGGCCCCAAACAGCAATTTTTAACAAAAATTTTAAATTGTCTTGTTTGAGAAGAGGCATACGTACCATATGGTCTCTATGACTTCAAATTACTGTTCAAATACTTTTAATGGCTTTCACTGCCTAAAGAAAGATAGTGAACGTTTTAGGTCTAGCTCCAACCTAACTTTCCCTACATATATGCTATTTTCCTTTAGTGCACGGATTTTGTGAGTATCCCTTCCAATGGTGGTTAGCCAGAGATAACCAGTCAGTGAGAAGCACAAAATTCCAAACCTGACCTTAAGCAAACTTCTGGAGCTTTCCTTCCTGAGACTGCCCTCAAAATTCCTCTAGAACCCCCATCTTCCCACACTTTGAATCAAAAGACAGTGGGAAAACGTTTTCCATAAATTCTTTTTTTTTTTTTTTTTTTTTGGTTATTCTGGATTAAATCTGATACTCTCTCAGAGGGACTAACTCAAATAAGTTTGAAAGGTTGTGAAAGGTTGATTTATCTTGTTGGTTTCTCATAGGCTTTCCCATTCCTGTTGTGAGGATCATTTCAGTGGGCAATGTTCATTCAATAGCAAAGAACATGTTACTGGCGTGTCTGTTTTCCTAGCAAGGTCTTACACTAAGAAAAAAGCATGACCACATAGGGCGGCCATATAGTACACTGCACTGGGCCCACCTGTCAGTCGAGGCATTCATCACTCAGTCACAAACCACTGCCTGTGTTTTACAAATGCATCTTTTTCTCTCAGATGCAGAATGTTGGTACCATATAGACTTGGTTTATAACAGAAGACCAAATAAAGTAGTCACATTTTCAAATAGAACCCTTTATCATGGTAGTATTGGCCAATTTCAGGAATCTGAATGAAAGTTTATATTAAACTTTAAGAATTCAATGTTTCCCCTTTCTTACCTTGTTTCAAGTCTTTTGTACAATACACTGTTATCTGTTTTCAGCACAAAAACTATATGAAACCAGCGTTCAGGGAAGAAATCACAACCATGGTAGTCAACAATAACTCCACCTTCACTCATTTGGTTTTCTAACTCATCAACCACCTGTAAGAAAGCGGGGGAAAAAAGATATTCCGTAAAAAAAACTGGGGTCAACTTTCCTATTAAATTAAAAAAAAATGTATACTTTATAAGAAATTGCACTTACTCTATCTTCATCTAAAATGGGACAATCATACTCCTCATCATAGCCATCATACAGCTCTCCTAGAAGAGATTTATGTGCCTTGTGAAAGCAGTATTTTCTAAGTAATTGATTTTCAATTAATTCTAGACTGTAGGATAGGAAATACACCATCAAGTACTCTTCAGAGACAGAGGGCAATAACACAATAGATGTCACACGGACACCAAACATAAAGAACAATGCGGGTAAATCTGAGTTTTGTCTAGAGGGAAACTTGGATCGCAATGTACCTGAGACTGTCTTAGCTGTCAAAATTGAGGCCGAGTAGAAAGAATGAGTAACAGCCAAATGCAGAATTTGTGGGCTATTAGCAGAAGAGGACTGCATTATTCCAGTAAGCTACAGATTGGTGGGAAGAGGGGACACATGGATAGAAACCCTCTCAGGCACATTAACAGCAGAGTAAGTTCCAAATTTATTAGGCCAAGGTATGAAACCTATTCAAGGCAACAATGGGTTCTCAATTCCAGAAATGAACGCTCTGCCACTGAGGTCACACCCCCATGGGGTTTGGGGAAGGAGAGTCAGTACCCAGATGCTCCTGAACAATATCTTTACTTGTATTTTTCCAGCATCCCAAAAAGCCAAGAGTTAACTATCTTATTTCAGAAGGCAAAACAAGAACAATGGGCAGTTATAAAGAAGGCAGACTTAAATCTAACATGAGAACTTTCCAACAAATCGGAGCTGGCTTTCAGAGGAAGTCTTACTTCAGAAGGCGCGCATGTCAATCCCACCCTCCCCTGAATCCCCAGGAGGCTGTAGTGAGGCAGGCTTAGGTCATCCTTGTAGCCATCTCTAAAGGCACCTCTTTTCCCCTAATATTTCAACATAAGTTGAAACTAGGTTAAAGTGAGCTTGAGTTCTGAAGTGACAAAGGGCAGTCCTGAGGGCTAGTGGACGGCACAGAGGCAGGTGTACCTGTCCCACCTGGGGGTCTGTGGACTGATCGCGGGCACGTGTGCCACCTCTCCAGCCCTGCAGTGTGGCCTCCGCCTCCTTGGGCTCCTGCTCAGCTACCAGAAACCCTATCAGCCTAAGAAAGTAAACGGTCTTGGTGTGGGGACAACTGGTCAACAATTTAGAAAGCAATCTAAATCCTTACTTCGTATCACAAACTCTAGGTGGAGAAGGGCTAATTTCTTAATTCCAAAGATAACCAGTGAAAAATTTATCTAATCTATAAAGCAGTGATTCATTTGAGCTTGAAGAAATAAAATGACTAAAACAAACAAAATGTAAATCTCCGTTCCATGAAAAATACTACGACTTTAATAAAAAAAAAAAAGAACAGACTGGGAGAAATATTTCATAGTAGGACAAAGAATTGAAATGTAGATTATATAAAGGCCTTAAAAATCAAAATAAAAATAAGTAGTTTAACAAAGAATAAGAATTCACACAGGACGGAAAAGATAATTCATAAACAAACATGAAAAGAAGTTGGACTTTCCCAGCTATTAAAGAGATGCAAATGAAAATGAGCCTTTTTACGCCTGTTATATTAGTTATATATGTAAATAGTAAATTGCCTCTGGAAATTTATCATAAAAATAATTTTTAAAATGTTATACCCATTCAGAGATTTCCTCTACCATTTAATTTCCAATCAGAAAAAAATTATAAGTGATAAAATGATAAAAAAAAGTTCAACAATAGGGAAAAAGTTAAATCTTGGTTTACTAACTTGATGAAATATTACGTGAGTAAAGTTAAGGAAAATAAGGATTAGGTAGTTTAAAAACACTACGTAGTACAGACTAGGTAGCAACATGATAAATGCTCATGATACAAGCAGTAAAACATAAAAAGCAGAATTCAAAGTTATCTGCAACAGGGACAAAGATTAGAAGAAAAATGAAAGATGGAACTAAGTTAGTAGGATGTGAAGTACTTTTCCTTTGTATTATTTTTAAAATATTGAGTTTTTTTACAATGCCACAAAATCCAAGACTACCTATAGCTGATTCTGTACATGCGGCAGTCTGGGGTAGATTATGTTGAATCCCTTCATCTTTTACATCCTGGACTTAAAAGAGTAGTGAAATCTTTAAAAACATACACTGTCTAAAATCTAACTATTGCAATATTAACTTTCAGAACTAAGTCTTTATACTGCAATGCTGAAATGCAGCATTTCTTGAATCATGTTACTACGTTTTAACATAATACTGTAATGCAAGCTTTCAAACTTTTATCAAACACCATGTGACTGCAGGGTAATGAGGACATCACAGAGAACAAATGAACGGAAGACACACACAGTCCTTCCCTCAGAGCCTACAACAGGATGAGAGAGGAAACTACACTATGGCAATACTGTAATGTCACGCTCCGTGCTGCCATAGGAGCAACAGGATGGGCAGCTAGTACGTTAGGAACATAAACCTGGGCTATGATGGGAGGCTTCCTGGAGGAAATGGCTTCTAAGTGGAGACCTGAAGCAGTTAACAGGGGAAAAAAGGTAGGGAAGACTATTCTCGACAGAGAAAACACGCTATTCAAAGGTAGAGGGACTTCCATGGGAGGGAAGTCTTTCAGAACAACTAGAAAATAGGTGGTAAGGGGTCAGGTAAACTGAGGCCAGATCAAAAAGGGCCTTGAAGGCTGCATGGAGTTGAGACTTTTCCTAAGGCAAAGAAAAATCATTAAAGTATTTTTAGCAGGAAATGACATGATGAGTTTCAAATTTTTAAAAATCATTTTGGTTTCTGTGGGAGAATGAGTCAGAAGAAAGCAAATCCAGAAGCCTGAATATGGTATCAAGGTAGCAGAATTGTAGCTCGGCGAGGACCCTAACCTGTGCTGAAGGGAATGGAGAGAAATGGATGGATTCTAAACTTCGCTTCAAATTTCCAAAGAAAGAGGAAAAAGTTACGCAACTTCAGAAAGTTCCCATTGGAATTCAAATTTATAGTTGTCTACACATAGAATCTTAATCTAGCAAAGATGAAAGGGCTTGATTTAATTACCAAAAGCTTAGAAAACTTAATCAATTTTCTAAGCAGTTTCAGGATTTCTTTAAGGATGTATTACTTGCAGGAAAAAACCAATTGTGGTGCCAGAGTTGAAAGGCTAAGTTGTTACCTCAAAAGACCTGTCCAGCTACTCAGTCAAGCTATAAAACTGCGACGTTTTCTTTAACTGCTATCCTAGAAGTTATTACACACTCACGTGAAAGCTGTTCTTTAATGATACTAGGGTGCTGGTTATCTATTTTGATGCCGTTCCAATACTTATAACGTTTTCAGATTCCTTCCTTTGGAAACTCATTTGCCACATTTACCTCAATCCAACAAGAAGCTTATAACCATAATGCAATTAGTACAAGACGTTAATTGGTTTAGTATTGAGGGCTTTGACACCAGCCTTTTACGTAGAGAGAACAGCAATGAATTCTGCTCAGACACATTAGAGGGCACCAGAGATGGGACAGCTGAGCTGGGCCTTTCAGAGTTGTTTGTAAGGCAGACAAAGAAGGGCATCTACAGGTGAAGGGAACAGCATGCCCAAAGGCGGGGAAGTGGGAAATCCAGCATTTGAGGAACAGTGCACTGTGGGTGGGCTGAAGGGACACAGGGCAGAGGGGCTGCAGGTAAGGCTGAAGGTAAACTGAGGTCAGTTCGTAGTCTCCTATGCGTACGGAGGGTGGACTTACCAGCAGAGTTCAAGTCAGGCAGTCCGTCTCCTCCTTTTTAAAGGACATAATGATGATGCAGGAGGGAAGAGACACTGAAGAACAGGAAATTCAGCCCCAGTAGTCTTAGGAAAAGGATGGGGCACCACAGGGACACAGCCCCAGTGGTCTCAGGAACGGGATGGAGCACCACGGGGATTCTTCAGACAAACGATCAAGATTTAGAGAAAGTGGATCTGTGCATTATGTGAATGTGTTTGTACATGGAGGGGTAGGAATCAGGAGTGGGGTAGTCAGAGATGACTTCAGAGCATGTACTTTCTAAACATATTAATTTGGAGGCGTCTGGGAACTACCCAAATGGTTATGGTTAGTAGGTGTCTAGAAACCGGGCTAAGTTTTAACTACAAATTTTAAGAGTCATCAGCATAGGGAGTGACTAGTCCTGAATGAGTGAGATTACTAGAGGGAGGGGCAGAATTACAAAACGGCTGCAGTGAAATCATGGGGAACAAGGTATATGGTGGGAGACACCCATGGGGAAGTTAGTTTCAACGGCTTCCAGAGATAGCTTCCAGTTGAAGGGAAAAAATGGGATACAGCAGTTAGGGCGGGGAGAGCAAACTTCTCCTGTGAAGGGCCAGACAGTAAACACTTCAGGCTTTGTGGGCTAGTCCTAGTTAGTGGTTCCTATAAGAAGAACAGATGTAAACCCCTGGGTTAGAAACAGATCCAAGATTCTAAGTGTTGAGGGCCAGCAACGCTTTGCAACCTCTATTGAATGGATCCAACATCAATATAGTTATATTACTTGTCTAGACCTACGGGCATCCTGGAGTAGGATCAGAGGCTGAAGATGATAAACTGGAGGCAGGAAAGTTAAGAACGCTGGTGAAGTGTAATTGACACCTGCACAGGGGAAGGGCAGCAGTGAGGAGGAATCTGAGACTGCACGAACAGGGACAGAAAAGGCATTCTTAGTCACACCCCTTAGGACTCCCAACAGTTTTATTAAGCTAATTCCCCACCTAATTTTTCCTGCCTTGGTCCCAAATGGCATAGGATAGCCTCTTACAAATACAGCAATTCAACATGATTACTAGGATGGCAATAAACTCCACTTAGGCTTATTTGTTTAAAACCAGTTTCGGTTTTTTTCAGTCTCATTTCTGTAGAGCAGGGTTTCTCAATGGAAACCACTACTGACATTGTGAACCTGGTAATTCTGTTATGGGATGGAGGGCTGTCCTGGGAATTGTAGGGTATTCAGCAGAATCCCTGGACTCCATCCATTAGATGTCAGCAGTAACTCCCCTAAACGCAGTCATGACAACCAAAAATGTCTTCACAAGTTGCCAAATGTCCCTGAAAGGCAACCCCCCCCCAGTTGAAACCCACTGCCTTACAGATGATTGCATGCTTTCCCTCAAAATATATCACCACTGACAAAAAGGAGGCTGGATGTCTCAGAATCTTTCCTAGTAAGATCTTCAGATATTCAAATAGCATCTGGGAAAAAAATCTGGTACATTGTGAGAAACCTTATAAAGTACCTCATCTAACACCATGTCAAATCAGACCACAAATCTTTCATCTGGCATTATGGGAAGGGAAGAAACTAATACTTTTCCTTTAAGGCTTACATTCCATCTCATGAAATCATCTCATCAATAAAACACAAAAAGGACGGTTGGGACTAAACACCATTAGGTGGACATACGACTGGCTCAAACGGTGTGAGTACAGGCAGGAGAGGACCCAGCTGTCTAGTGCTGCTGTTCCTCTCAAGGCTGCTCATGACATATTAGACAGCAACTTCGCTTAGAAGCATTAAATCGAGTGGGAGATATCAGAACTGGGACACATGATGGAAACCGACTACAGCATGTGACTCTGAAATCACTTGTCAAAATGGTAAAGTTCAACAGGCAAAGGAACACCAGATTTCATAAAGGTATAAGGTGGAGACTGACTAGCTATGTACAATAGCAACAAAGATCTAAGATTTATGAACTATAACTTAAATGCCAGACCCAAATTAAAAATAGGAGCATGATACTGACTTACATAGTATCAAGAATACAACAACAAAGATGCACAAAACTGACCTGCAAAAAGGGATATAGGAAAAAAATTTTTAATTTCTTAAAGTGGGGAGATACTGGAAGACACATTAAGGGTCCTTAAATATAACCAAAGGGATAGAAACTCGGAGCTGGGAAGAAGGTGGGCAACTGAGGAAGATAAATCCAAACAGATGAGGATTCACTACGAATAGAAATCCTGACTGAGTGACTACCCAAAAAGGAGACACGGTTAGAACTTAAAACTTGCAGTCTGAGAGAACGGACCAGAAGAGAGACTCGGCCGAAGACAGCTGATGACACTGAAGGTGATGAATTGACGGCAACAACTTCAAGTCGTTGCAACTGTTACTCCTGTTGTAATAATGAGGGGGACAGTGCTTCCAAAAATATAAATGCCAAAGTACCAACAATGAAATTGATGAATGACAACTTTATTTTTTACACTTAAAGGCTCATGAAAAACCATTACTAATCCTATTAAAGAAAATCCAACATCTCAATTGAAAAGTATGGTAACTATATTTACTCATTAAATACTACTTAAGTTTTCTAACACATCAGCATGCGTGTTTAATCTCAGTACAGTGGATTCAAGACCAAGTATCCACATTACAAGCATCAAGGCTAGATTACAAATTATCATAGTCATCATCGTCGTCATCATCGTCATCATCATCATCTTCACGCTTTCTTTTCGATGTATTTGATGATTCACTGGCAGTATTCTGTGATGACACCATGTTAGTGGTAATAAGAATGTTTTTGGACCCGATTAATGACGGATTAATCAGAACATTCTGAACTGCTGATGTTGCAGGAATGGACGCTTTTACAGCTGGGGACTGCGAGGTGGGCATCTGCACCGTAAACCTCTGCCCTGTGAGGGATACTGGAGTCCCTACCTTGGTTGAAACAGACACGGTCTGTGGGGTTGGTGTGCCAAGAGTGGGAGTACTTGGTCTGCTAGTAACTGAACCAACACTTAACCGCGGAACTGTTATTCTTCCCGCAGAAGTAGATGCCTTTTTCTGTAAAGACTTAAGTCTATAATTTGGAGCAGTCAAACAATATCTATCAGGTGGCAACCTAGGGCCCGAATAGGGCTTGATCAATGGCAAAGGGGTTTGATTTCTTTGCCGTGCAATATCCAATAAAAAATCTCTTGGGGGAGGAGAGGTAAAAGACTGGTCAGCACGACACTGGATTGCCAATCGCACATCATCGGCATCAACAGTAGCTTTCTTAGCATGGCTTGAATAAATTTTTGCATCATCTAGAATTGTGGTCACATATCGGAAGGCAAACTCCAACATCTGATTTATAACTCTTGGCTCGTACTCTGTAATGCCCATATCCTTCAGGATCTGTGCCATCATCTGTGCATCTTTCGGCATGCTCTTGGGAGAAGCCATCTTGCCAGACTCCATGCTATCCGTTGATCAGACTTCAGATCATTTGAAAGAAATATGTATATTAGATCAAACCTGAAATTATTACTTTAGTAGCAACTGTCAGGAATTTAAAAAATTTTTCAAACATATTAAATTTTTTAAGTACATTTCAATTCTTTAAACGTATATTAAGTCTTTTAAATTTTAATGAGGCTCATAAAGTTCCCTTTAAATCTACTGAGTTTCTGCCCCATACAAATCATTATAGAATAGAAAAAGATGAAGACACAAACAAGGGAGTGATAAAAGATTGGGGGAAAACAGGGTAAAATCACTTTAGAATACGTGCAGTTGCGTGCAGGCATGCAACTATCAAACTAATCTAAGAAAACACCACAGGACAGTCATGTCCTACTGCGTGAGTTCAAAATAACCAGTCCTTCCAGCGAGACCAGTATCCTGTCTCCACAGATAAGCTGAGCACCAGCCGAACCTTCACGTGTTCACCCATCCCAAAACATGCTCCCTCTTCCTCAGACTCAGATTCTATCTACCCTAAGTCCGGTCTCCTCACAGGAGCCTTCCCAATTACTACTGTCCACAGCAACTGCTAACCAATTTGGGGGGCGGGGGTAGCAATCTAGTGGTCAACATAACTAGGACGTAGCATTCAGACACACACTTTCTCTTTCTATTGGTCCCCAACAGAGCATAAATTCCTTCATGGCCACCTTTCTCTGCTTTTGTCCCCTCCAGCAAGTATAGTACTAATACTCCATTCTTTTTTTTTTTAAACAAATCTAACAAGTGTCCCTTACCTTCTCGAGCTAAATCACCCACATTAATGTATTTCAGTCCTGATCTTGATGCAAGTTCTTTGCCTAGCGTGGTTTTTCCAACCCCTGGCGTACCTGTAAGACAAGCCACAGAAAAATACTGTTTATGAAATACTTATTAGACTTTAGCCACCTATCTACCCTTCTCAAGGTTCCTAACAACTGAAATGAAAAGTTTCCTAATTAGTAATCCTTTGTGAATTAATATACACTATGACCTAATGAAAACTACCCAAAGCATGTTCAAGGTCAGACTCTCGCCCAGTGTATCTGACTCCACCAGGAGTGGGGCTGCGGGTGATTCCGATGCCACTTCAGACTGCCTGCCACCACCATGGAAATTCCCAGAATAAAACAGCCATCTCAAATAAATTACCGTCATTTATGTCAATTTCTAAAAAAAAATTACGAAATCGTTCATAGAAAAATTTAAGCAGCATGAAAGATAAATATCATTTCCACTACAGACCCCCATGCTCTTCCTTAGAGGCAACCAATGTAAACCAACTTCTTATATATATTTCCAAAGAACTCCTAAGCATGTGTTTGTGTACACACACGTATATGCACATGTATAATAGCATACAATTTATGTATATATACACACATATAGGAGCATATGTTTGTGTGCACACGCGTATATGCACATGTATAATAGCATACAATTTATGTATATATACACACACATATAGGAGCATACGTTTGTGTACACACGCGTATATGCACATGTATAATAGCACACAATTTATGTATATATACACACACATATAGGAGCATATGTGTTTGTGTACACACACGTATATGCACATGTATAATAGCATACAATTTATGTATATATACACACACATATAGGAGCATATGTGTTTGTGTACACACACGTATATGCACATGTATAATAGCATACAATTTATGTATATATACACACACATATAGGAGCATATGTTTGTGTACACACGCGTATATGCACATGTATAATAGCATACAATTTATGTATATATACACACACATATAGGAGCATATGTGTTTGTGTACACACACGTATATGCACATGTATAATAGCATACAATTTATGTATATATACACACACATATAGGAGCATATGTGTTTGTGTACACACGCGTATATGCACATGTATAATAGCATACAATTTATGTATATATACACACACATATAGGAGCATATGTGTTTGTGTACACACACGTATATGCACATGTATAATAGCATACAATTTACGTATATATATACACACACATATAGGAGCATATGTTTGTGTACACACGCGTATATGCACATGTATAATGGCACACAATTTATGTATATATACACACACATATAGGAGCATATGTTTGTGTACACACGCGTATATGCACATGTATAATAGCATACAATTTATGTATATATACACACATATATAGGAGCATATATACATAAACACACTGTATATCCTTTTACACAAACAGCAATACAATACGCTGTTCTTCACTTTCCCTTTTTTACATCTATTATATTTCAAAATAATCAAACGCATAACTTTCAGCCATTCAGGTTTAATACCACTGATATTATAAAAGTTAACCATTATAATTAAAGACAAGAGGGATAAATCAAGTCTCCATATAAAAGACAACAACATTTACCTCAAATCCACTATAATGCGCTAAGTTTGAACCTTGGACTCACCAAGTTTTCAATAAAATGCTCATATTTAGATTTTTTACAATATGGCCTAATATTAAATAACCAGACCCAAACAAGTCGGATGTTGTAAAATCTTCCCCTAAAGGAATTTTAAAGGCTAAACATTAATTTGTTGAGAGGCTGATCTGCAGCTCTCAGAAACAGACGAGACTTGTGCGCTGTCAACGAGCTTACGTTTTGCTAAGTGATAAAACTTTATTGCTTCGTTTCCACAAAGAATGTCTCATTTTTTCTGTGTTGCAATAACATCTACACCTATTAGATCTGATTAGATTTCTAACCAGATAAATTAGAAAAACCCATCAGATTTTCCTATGATGCTATGAGCTGCTACAACTCAATAAACATTTCCAGAGTCACACGACCAGCAATAAGATTCTTTAAAGCCGTTAGGCGGTATTTTAGTGCCCCTCACATACACCAAGCGCCCTGAGGATGGATCCAAAGACCCAGACGGGCCCCCACGGTCAGCCCGGGAGCTTCACAGCATCTCTACACGACAAACGACCAGAGGTGCTCAATAGATGCCTTTTCTTCTCGAGAAAAAAGCTTCGGATGCTAACTCAACACACGTACACAGTAAATTAACCACCCTCCGCCACAAACACGCGAACCCTTTCACCGACGCCTGATTCTCAGCACGGAGAGCAGACGGACGGCCGGGAAGGCCGAGGGCCTGCGCCACGAACAGACCCACCGGGGCCAGCCGCCCGACAGGATCTCGCGGAAACCCCAAAGGCCACCCCGCCCGCTGGAGAATCGGCAGCCATTTCAGGAGCAGGAGCCGGATTCAGAGGCCCAGCCGCTCTCCGGCCGGCGGACGTGGACTGGTCTGCCGGCCCTCCCTCAGCGGGCGGCCTCGGCCCACCGAAGCGACGCGCCGGCCCTGTCCCGTATCCCGCCGCGGGCGCCAGCCCGTCCCAAGGCCGCACAACCGCCAGGCCGCGCGAAGCGCTCCGAGCCCGAGGCCCGCGCTCCCAGCACCCCCCGCCCGCCCCTCCGGCCGCGCGCCCTGACCCGTGAGCAGGATGTTGGGAAGCAACATGGTCCTCGCGCGACGAGTCCGGGCGCCTCGACCCATGCGCCTGCGCACAACAGGAGGAGTCGGAAGGGCGCCCTGCCGCGAGTGCCTGTGGCAACAAGGTCTTCGAGGCCCCGCGCGGCTCTGCCCGCCCATCCCCACCTCCTAGTCACAAACCATTGGTTAACGTGGCCTTCTCTGACACGCCTCCATCGCAGGGTCCGAGGCAGGGGCAGAGGTCGGGTTCGCGCTGTGAGTCGGGCAGGGCGCTGGACGCCTAAGTCACTCGCGCCGTTGGCGGCCCCTGCCTTTCGGGCTGCGTCGCGGAAGCGCCCACCGGTCTGGAAGGTCCCCGGGAGGCGGGTCCTTCGAGAGGCTCGGCGCTGAGTCTGGGTAGGGCCAGGTGGTTGCCCGTCCACCTGGAGCGGGACTTGGGCTCCTCCGCTCATCTCCGCCCGTGAGGGGATGCAGCTCCTGGCAAGTAAGACCGCCGCGGCTGTGGCTGTGGTGTCTCTGTGTCCTAGAGGCGCGAGTCCATCTCTGCCTGCACGCCTTCCCGGACCTTGTCGCTCCTCCCCCCGACCTGCCCATCCCATTTGGGGACGAGACGGGTGGGGGTGTAGATCGCCGGCCTGGAACCGGGCCCGCAAACTCATCGCGGTGCTCTGCTGATTAGCAGCCTTACGTTGGACGAATGTCTGAGCTTAGTGTCCCCTGTGCAGTGCGTAGGGTGGTGGTGGGTCTGCTGGAAGTATTCTTGAGGTCTTTTCGACCTCTGACGTCTCATTTTGGGAACCTGGCATCATCGGGGACAGTTACGTGCTTTTTAAAGGAGGTGACTGTCAGTCTTGCTTTCAAAGAGCGACTGGAGTCCTGACCTTAACAGTCTGCGCCTTCTGTTTCGACCTGCCAACTGTGTTTACTCAAATCCGTGTTTTTTCCACCTGTGTACGTCTTTGAAACTCCAAAGCAAAAGCGCTCCCTAATCGTACACGATTTGTATGTGTGTGTGTGTACGACCTGTTTTCTAGTGTGTGGAAGTATTTACATATTGTAAACTATGTGTGCCTCCAAATAAAAAAGTTCGATACACCTTCTAATTTATGTTTGTAGACCTTAAAAAACTTCCCTTCTGGATAACTTAAAATTGGTGAATTCATTAGTTTGTATAAACATTGAAGAATTATGAAAGTCGGAAAACACACTGTTGCCAAAAAAATTCTAATATATTCAAATAAGAAAAGCATCTTATAGGAAAAATTTACAGTAAGATTTAAAGTCTTTGACCAAAGTAAGTGATAAGTCTGAATTCATTGTATGGTGGAGGGTTTTTTTGAAATTTTGGTAATGAAAAACTGCAACTAATTTGAGATGAGAGAGATCTTAATTTTTGGTATAAAAACTGCACAAATAGAATGTAATTTTTTTAAATCAGAAAAGGTACGTACACACAAATATGTGGTTTTTCTATTTTCTCTAATATGTTATTGAGTTCATATGAAAAACTTTACATTTATAACACCACAAATAGATTGACACAGTTATAGTCGTTAAAAGTAAAGTTTACTTTGGCATTTTGGCTTCTTGCTTCACCTATGTTTGCTATGTTCTCTTTCACTAATTCTTGAGCTTTAATTTATTATGCTATTGATTATATCGGTATGTGTTAATTACTGTACTCCTGGTTTACAGTCTTTCTTAATTTGAGATTTTTTTTCTCTCTTGTTCTGCCTAGGTGAATTATACTTTAGTGTACTACAGGTTGTATACTACGGATGGGAGCTGTCAAAGTTTATAATGTCAAAAACTTTTCTTAGACCAAAGGTATCTTCCACAAAGGTATGACACACCAAAATGGCCGTGTAATAATTGCCCAAAAGAATTATGATTTTTGTATGTGTTCTTAATGACATGACTGCTGTCAAAGCAGTGGTGCCCAGTATCTGTTGTAATTATTGATCTAAAAAGCCTGACAATAAGTTGTGAAACGATGGTATGCTAAAAGCACAACCTTAATTTTGAAAAAGCGTTTACAATCCCAGTCACAAAGAAAAGGCTGAAAACTCTTGATGAAAAGAGCATTAGAAGAAAGAGAAATCTATGAGTTGTAGCTGGTGTTAAAGCTTAACAACAGGCCCTGCCTCCTAGAAACCATGTGGTTCAGTGTGCCAGCTGCTCAGCAAGGCTAGGGGTGGAGTGCGATGGGGGTCAGATAGTATCACTCTTAGATGCAAGGGAGCTGTTTTCCTAGTGGTGGATCCAATTTTTCTCTGATCTTAAGTAAATTATTTAACTTTGCTGTTTCTCTTTTTTTTAGTAAATGGGAGACCACATTTATGTAAGAAATGACACTATAAAATATATAAGTAACATGCAGATTAGAATTACCAAAAGTTTTACTATAACAGATAATATTTTTATGTACTTTTAAAAATAGAGGAAAGGAGCCGAAATTACAGCACTAGTGACAGTCTTTTGAAGAGAGAAAATGAATTGGGTGTCTATGCCTGAAACTTTGTCCCGGAAGTCTCCATTTTTTTACCCACTGCTGATAATATTCCTAACCCTCTCCTTAAAAGAGGAGTGAAGTGTGACTTTCCATTCATAAAATACTTATACACCCCAACGTGCTTCTTCTGAGCCGCCTTTCAGCTCCAACTTCTGGTTCTTTTTCTCCCAGAAAGGAGCATTGGCTAATAAATGGCTCACAACTGTGGCTGAGTCTTCTTCAAGGAAAATATAATCTCGGTTCCCTCTTATTAGCCAGTCAGGGAATTTCAAAAGCCAGGTACTAAGCTAGACTTTTCTAGATTTATTCTGTTGGAAAGTAAAGAAAATCCGTCTTAAAATTTTTAATTATTAAAAAAATTTTTTAATACTCCTAGATATTTTTAGGTTAAAATTGCTCAATTCATCATCTTTCTCTGTGTATACTTACCAAGGATTTGAAAGAAAAGGAAATGGTGGAGGGAAATGTAGAGAGGTGAGCACGCTCTACAGACCAGAAGAGGATGAAATAGAACTCACTGATTGCCCAGCTTGGTTGTCCAGTACTCTTTCTCCTAGACAAAGCTGACAAATCTTCCTTCCTGGAAAGCCTGCCTCCCTTTTATAAAAACATTATTTGCTTCACAGGCTGAAGAAAAATATAATCAAGTCATGACTGCAAATTGTTCATAGCATCAGGATTCTTAGACTGTGTCTTCACGAAGTCTTAAGGCGGAGGGGGATTATTTGGATGTACGAAATGGTTCTTAGTTTGTGAACATAGTAACCTGGTCAAGGCAGAATGTTACTCTTACCTTTGTACATGGTTAAAGTAATGTCAGTTTATTTATTTTGTTTTGCTTCTCTTTTGGTAGGTAATTTTAATATTTATGTTTCAGTCCTACAAATGAATTTTTAAAAAATCAGCCTACTTTTTATCCTGGGAAGATTATGATTGATAAATAGAATTAAGTTTGTATTCTTTATTCCTTTATATGGCATTCATCGGTACCATGGTCAAGTAGACAAGTATGCATTTGCATTTAATGTAAAGTAGGAAAATAACTAGTATATGTGGAGCCAGTTTTGTTTAAAGAGCTAATTTGTGAGATTTTTATTTTAAATGTTACAAATATATGAATTTTTTTTTTGCAGAGTAGTGCAGTTATATAACGAATAGGTGCAAAAAATGTAATAGCATTTACATGATTTCTTTTTTTCAGGTAACAGACTGGGTAGACCCATCATTTGATGATTTTTCAGAGAATACAGGCATTTCTACTATTACTGCCACATCGTTTGGTCTGAATAACTCAAGTCATAGAAAAAAAAATGTGCCTTCCACATTAGAAAGTAGCAAATTTCCAGCTAGGAAGAGAGGAAAGCTGTCTTCCTCAGAACGGATTTATGGTCTAGAAAATTCAAAAGAGTATCTGCCTGAAAATGAACCATGGGTGGATAAATACAAACCAGAAACTCAGGTACTAAATAACATGCCAACAAGTCTGTGTATTTAATTTCAAGAAGGAGAGGGATGTGCATTTTCAGATTATTACTCATAAAAATCTTTCTGTCTAAATGAGTTAGAAAAAAATAATTTCTAAGTTTTTTATGTTCTGAGGCTGATTTTCTCAACTTATTCTGAAGCTGTCCAATTGGATATTTATCTTAGATTTAATGTAACCACAGCATAGAATTGATCTCTTTGTTTTTTGCTAAATGTAATATCCGTCCCCAAAATGTATCTTAGGATTTAAAAAACTTTACAGTTCCAAACCTGCCCAGAATTTTCATACAACAGTGTTAGCTTAAGAACAGAATTCATAACAGAATCCATAACGATATAAAAAATTAAGTATAATCAAAAGGACCTTTTTTATTACTCATCGTGTTACTTGTTTGCTATTTTTTTGCATTAAAAATGTTTAGATTAATCTATGCTGTTGTACCAAAAATCCTTGGGTTAAAATGTTTTATTTTAAACTTGAAATTTTTAGCATGAACTTGCTGTGCATAAAAAGAAAATTGAAGAGGTTGAAACCTGGCTAAAAGCTGAAGTCTTAGAAAGGCAACCAAAACAGGTAATTAAGTAAGAAAAGTGTCTTAAATATTTAACATCCAATGCTTCTCTGACTTGTAGTTGGTTGTCTTTTGTGATGACTTTGTTCCGTTACATCTAGATCACCCTCAGGAGGATGCTCTCTGGCCTTGACTTCTGGCCTCGGTGAGACTCAGGGCCTTGAGTTTTCCCTTCACTGCACTTCTTTTTCCCTCTTATGTCCTGTCATCAACTTAAAGCAAAGTAGACCAGTTAGGGTGCTGGTGTGTATAGCACATCCAGTTATCTCACACCAAAGTAAGCAGGCAAATTACATACTAATTTTTGCACTAAATATAGCCTAAAACAG